CTTCCTCCCTCTGCTACTACTGCTGTCTGAAGAGATGCACCGCTTCCACACAAAAGCAATCAACCAGAGTGTGTTAGTGCTGTCAATCATCCTCTTGCTTCTTGTACATGCTGCTTAACGTACTAATAACTTAAGGTTAAAAGAAAACTGTTCATCTGTCATTGGTGCTAACTAGACTTTGCTCTGCTGTCTTGAAGAAGCTGCAGAAGCGATGGGGGGTCAGCAGCGCATACATAAGCATGATTGACAGGAATAGCCCTCCTCCACATGCTGATTGGTTGTTTCTAGTTGGCGCTGGGAGAAGGCAGAGGTGTTTGCTTTTTTCACAGATTATCTGTTTACCATAGCATACTGTCACTTCACAACATAGTGACAGTTTCAACAAATTAGCAACAAAAAATTTATATTTTTAGAAGTTACATACTGTAACCGTAATGTACGTTATTTGGATTTCAGATGCCATACTGAGGAAAATAACAATTGCACAAAAAGAATTAAGGAATCGAAACTAGAAGTTCGGAGATGTTTTATTTCCACCTCCCTGAGTCGATATTTTTGTAGAGCCGCCTTTCGTTGCAAACACAGCTGCAACGAAGGATATTTCTACCAGATCCATCCGGTCCAGCATCTGAACTTGAATTCTCAGTTAGATTCAAGTCTGGAGTTTGACTGGGAATGCATTTTGATCCAACCAGCTTCACTGTAGCTCTAGTTGTAAGCTTGGGGTTGTTGTCCTGCTGGAAAGTAAATCTCCACCCCAACCTCAAGTCTTCTTTAGCCTCTAACAGGTTTTCTTTTGACTGTATTTAGCATCTCTGACCAACTTCCTACTGTAATGACAGTAATGACCAGTGAGCTCTGTGGCAAACTGTGAACAGGATTTCTTGTGGCTTTCCTTCTTGCCGCTCCTCTATAAAGTTCAGATCTGTGGAGAGACCTATTTCATTGCTATTTAGGTCGTGCTCCGTTTTATTTTGTGGCGTCAGAGTAAAGAGGCTGAGGAGGAAAGCTTTCGGCATTTCAACTCGTAAAGAATTTTGCTGGCCGCGTGTCGCTTTCCCTCCGCTTCACGATGAATCGCCCTTCGGTGAAAGTCTCTGTAACGCCAATAAAACACGTCGAATATGAGGTTTTGAACGTGGCAGAACGTGGCAAAAGTTCAAGGGCTGCGTATGCAGCTCCGAAAGGCTCCATAAATACCAAATAATGTCCAAAGAGGAAATGGAGGTCATGTCAGATTTTCGCGTTAGTCTTAAAAAACAGAAGCTCGGTTTGGGGAATAGATATTCTGTAAGAATCAATACCCGGTTTCTACCTAATAGCCTCTTTTTCTTGTCTCTGCGCTGTACCTCATTTCACTTTATAGCCCTACTTCTTCCTTTTATCTGTCTTTCTCATCTCAGTGACCTCACAGACAGCAGCATTCCTTTTATTACTCTCTGCTCTGCTTTCTAATCCCATCTCTTCCCCTTCCTCCTCCCCCTCCTCATCCTCCGCCTGCAGGTGCAGCAGCAGGCGGCGTTGATGGCGTCTGTAGGACAGGGGGGCTACCTTAGTCCTATGGCGGCCTTCGCAGCAGCCCAGATGCAGCACATGGCCACCATCAATGGCCTCCCCGGAGCACCGCTGACCCCCACGTCAGGTAACAGTGCCGGAGGTCAGGGGTTAAAGGTCTGTGGGGGAACAGCTAGCATGGAGGTATAGCATTCTTAATTCTAACAAAATAGAAGAATTTCAGGGGACTTTTTTTTATTTATTTTTTTTATATATATTAGGTGAAACTGGTCATCAGCGGTTCGTTCCCGATGAACATTCACTTCAAAAGCAAACAAAATATTAAGAAAAGAAAGAACTTCCACGAAGAATAGCAGCATTATTAGCACCGAGCAAGTCTCTATGACAACGGTTTATTTTAAGTCTTGTCAGAGGTGTCAATACTAACCGTTGGAGCCGTCGCTGAAGGTGAAAATAAACCCACTGCGATTGGCTCAGAATGCATTAAAGCAAATGGTTCAAATTCCAAGAATCCATCTGCGGCTGGAAAGATGCCCACACCTTTTTTTTTTTTTTTTTTTCCACTGCTCTGCAGGATTAGCTCAGAGACTCAGGTCTAATGGCTGTTGTGTAACCCTGAGGGTCACACGGGGCCAAGGAATCAGCCCTGACATTTAGCGTCTTCACCGGTCCATTGGACCAGCCCCTCTGACATTTTCGTGACTCGGTAGCCGGTCGAAACCGAACTTTCCCATCATGTCTTCAGGAAGAGATTGAAAAAAAAAAAAAAAAAAAAAACAATGTTTGTCAATGTTTCTGTTACTGCAGGTGGCAGCACTCCTCCGGGCATTAGCGCCCCCACAGTGACCAGCATCCCCTCCCCCATTAGCGTTAATGGTTTTACTGGCATGCCGCCGCCCCAGGCGAACGGGCAGCCGCCGGCAGAGGCTGTCTTCACCAACGGGATCCACCATTACCCGGGTAAGGTTTGATCGTCTGCGTAGCATCCATTAAGAAGTCACAGAAACAGCAGCTAACTTTATTAGCACCTAAATACTGTTTTGTTTTTGTTTTTTTGTTTTTTTTTTCCGTTCTATTTGCTGTGCTTCAAGATAGCAAAACTTTATAGACACAGACCAGTTAGAAGCATGGCTCCAGATTGCATATCTTACCAGCTCTAAAGCATGTTGTTAAGGGGAAATAAATGGCGTGGAGGTGAGCGCCTCTTCACCGTCCCGACGGTGCGAGTGTGAGATTGTGTGGTGAGCCGTGGCTCGTGCTTTTTTTGTTTTTTTTGAGGGGATGGACGAAGAAAACTCTATCTGCTTTTTCTCTTTCACGCTCTTGTCTCCGCAGTGTTGCAGGAGGTGGTTTTTAGGGAGGACTCAGAGAAAAACGGCTTGGGCGTGGCTCCGCGGAGTTGTTTTGGGGTTCAGGGTGGCTGCTTCCTCTCCTCTCTCTCTGAAGGTAGCGCTCCTCTCCCACCCGCCCTCACTCTCATCTCTCACCAGGCTCAAAACGGTCGGGAAGATCAGAACCCTAAATATTTTGTGGTTTTTTGTTTTTTTGTTTTTTTTGGCTGTTGTGACATTTCTGGAGAAAACTGGGAGGGATTGTAATCTCTGAAGATGAACAAGATGAACCGGCAGGCTCTGGGGGAGCTGCAGTGATTCACAGCCCAGACGGCAGAATGTGTTCGCAGGACATCGTTCAGATAAGCGCTCCACAAATATGACCTTTATGAAAGAATGACAAAAATACTTTGTTTGAATCTTTTTAAAGTTTGTAGAACATTAACAAAACATAAGCAACATGTCTACTTCCCTTCCTGACCCACACCACCAAAAGTACAAAAATAAGTAAAATTCAGGAGAGCAAAACAAAGGCAGTTTGTGAAACGTAGAAACCTTTTAACATGACTATAGAGAATCTAATGGATCACTAGCATGGCGTCTACGTAGGTCACCCGCCACGCTGGATCTCTAGCAACTCTTGTTGAATGTGTAGAAATCCTTGAATTGCTGCTCACAGATAAAACTTCGTCTAATCAGACTGAGCTGAAGAAGCAACTGAGAAAGGTTTCACTCTTCGTCCGTCTCCCTGGAGACAAACCTGGCGGATCTGCGAAGTATTGACCCAGCATGCCAGACACAAATTATGAACCACATTTTTCCAGACTTTTACTTGTACAAAATGTTTAAAAAAAAATCCCTTTCTTTCCACTTTAAAGCAATTCACCACTTTATGTTGGTCTATCAAATGAAAGATTGCAATAAAAGGCCATATAAATGTGCAAAGTTTCAAGGTGTACTTCTGCCAGGCGCCGTATCAGGGAATGACAAAATATCCTCTAAAATTTGCAATTAAATGACATTTTGAAAGTCGGATGTTTCCAAAGTTTAAACAAGCAGAAACTTCCAGTGAGACACGTCCACTCGAGAAAGGCAAGAGTGTGATCTCGCCCTTTTCCCAAACCGTGACCTGAGAGTAACCTTTGCCTGTTGCCCCCGCCCTCCTCCTCTCCCCCCCCTTCCAGGTTGGAAAAGAAAGCTACAATATGATTTCACACTCTGTAACTTTTATAGAGCTCTATTTTAGCCCTCACCTCTCCTCTTTCCTCCAGGCCATCTGTGACTGTGTGTCAGTGTTGCTGTCGGTTCACAGTGTGTTCGATATTTTCTCGGCTGTTTCGAGTGATGTTGGGTCTATCGGTGTGTGTCTCTGTGTGCGTCCTCTCTCAGTGGTGTGTGCTCTGTGTGCATGCGCTGCCTGTGGACCAGACGGGTAGAAAAACGCGCGCGCAGGTACCATCCCCGGATGTACGGCGCCAACTCGTGGCGACAGATGCGTCCGCTGCTGTGCGTTTAGCTCTCTGCGGAATGAAAACCGTTTTGTAGGATCTGGATTTGCATGACGGAGTTTTTGTTTGGGTTTTTTTGGGGGGGGGGTTTCCTGTGGTGTGGTGGTGGTGGTGGTGTGTTTTTTTGTCTCTTTACTCCCTCGAAGTTGTACTTGTTTTCAAGAATAGCACACTAGAGCTACTTTGAAGATGCCTCAGCAGGAGCATGAAGTGAAAAGTTTTGGACACACTGAAGGAAAAGCGAGCTGCCTCTAACCTCCCTGTCTGTTCTCCTTCTCCTTCGCTCCCCTTGTTATCTTTTCCTCCGTGCCCTCTCTTCCATCTACATTCTCCGTCCGTCTCACCTCTCTCCTCCTCCTCCTCCTCCTCCTCCTCCTCACTTTTTCCCGCTGAAGCAGCTCAGAGTCCCACTGCGGCCGACCCTCTCCAGCAGGCTTACACAGGAGTCCAGCAGTACGCAGGTCTGTCCGTCACTCTGTCCCTCCGCAGCTCATCCGTGTGTCTGTCTTGAGTGGCACGGGTGGCTGCGAGTTTGCATCCGAGACCCTTTAAAATAAATAATAATAAAATTAAAGGAGTGCAAAGATAAGCACTCCTGTTTTCAAATTAGGTATTTTGATCATGTAGCCCTCCTGTCTTTTCGGTCCAACTGGATCAGTTTATTCTCTCCCGGCGGTGTTTGTGCAACACGCAGACTCCATTGTGTACGCTATCTGATCGATTGCTTGCTGTGCTCCTGCATATATCACATTGTTTGTATGTATTCAAGTGTGCGCTGTATTCATGACTGTTATCTGATGCGCGGCGTGTGTGTGTGTGTGGGTGTGTGTGTGTGCGCGTGTCTTTGTGTGGGTCTCAGCAGCCTACCCCGCCGCATACGGTCAGATCAGCCAAGCCTTCCCCCATCCTCCACCCATCATTCCACAGCAGCAACGAGAAGGTAACACACACACACACACACACACCTATACACGCACACAGACAATACTGCAAAAATTTAATTTTGCTGTTGCTTTTCTTTCAAGCTTTTACTGCGTTTTTCTTCTCTGTGTCTGAGTGGTTCAGGCAGCTATTCTACACAACAACGTACTATTTTAAATCAGATGAACCGAGGCGAATCTAAATGCCCCAATTTTGTTCTCCGTAATTTATGACAAATAATTTTGAAAAGATGAAAGGCCCTTAAAAGTGAATTTTGAATCAAAGTAACAGGATTTAAAAAAAAAAAAAACGGAGTATCTCCAACTTTGCTGTAAACCTGCTCATATAAACTTGATGACCCCGAGGAGCAGCAGGCTCATGTCTGGGGCATCACTGCCCTCTAGTGGAGAGGATAAAAAGCGCTCCAATCCGTCGTGACGGAGTCTGTGGGTTTTAGGCTTTTAGTGGTGATTTGGTAAAGGAAAAACTAAAAATATAGAGAGGGGTGAACATGTTTAAAATTACTGTCAACTAACCAGAAAACACCCAGATACAAAAATACGAGGAGAGGCAGCTGTTTACTACAATTTCAGTCAGACGGCTCTGTTACTCTCAAAGGAAAGTTATATTCTTACAGCCTCTTGGTTGAAGAATCGACACCGGGTCATTGCATAATGTAATTTGCAGAAAGTGGGACCGCTGTGAAACAAAGGCCGAACGAGTCAGAAAGCATCTCAAAGCGGTTACCGTGGAGAATCTGTGTGACTGTGACTCTGTTTCGAGATGTTGAAGTTCCTGGTGTTATGAACTCTTGAAATACTGTGAAGCTTTAAAGGGAAAAGCAATCAAAGGAAGAGTTCAGTAGACAGTAAGTCAAGCATCTTCCATGGCTATCTCTCTCCCCAGACCTGAAAATGTGAGAAACAAGCAAAAAAGAGAGTCTGTGAAAATATTTTACTATTTAAACAAAATTACATATAAAATTAGAGGTTTTCTTCATGATTATACTGAAAAAAAAACAAACAAAAAAAAAAACAGGAGTTTTGACAAACCTTTACCAGGCGTACCAGTTGTTTTGACTGAATCTTCTCTCATGGTTAGTTTTTTTTTTTTTTTTTAATTTTTGCTTTTTTTTCACCCCCCATCTTTTTTTCTCTTCTCCCGTCTCTTCCCTATTTTCGTGCGTGTGTGTGCGTGTGTGCATGTGTGTCTCCTTTTCACTGTTCCCATGCAGGACCAGAGGGGTGCAACCTGTTCATCTACCACCTCCCTCAGGAGTTTGGGGATGGAGAGCTGATGCAGATGTTCCTGCCTTTCGGTAATGTCATCTCCTCCAAAGTGTTTGTGGATCGGGCGACAAACCAAAGTAAATGCTTTGGTGGGTAAAAATGAACAGAATAAAAAAAAATCTCTATATATACTGATTACTGTTTTCTATTTATTTTTATTATTTTCATTTTCACTGAATGCATGAGGCGATTTTTTTTTTCTCCTTTCCATTTTAAATTAAAGCAGAACACTTTGCTGCAGCCGTGCAGAAATGCATGCATTCAAAACTGATTTCTCTCTTTATTCCTATTAACGCCGTTTTACTCCGAAGCTCAACTTGTTTTCATTTCTGCATTCATATGACTTTTAATTCCTTTATTCCTGTGACATTTTTTTTTTTTTTTACAAATATGTGATCTCGGACTGAACTGCTGCTGTGTCGCTTCGCCGCTGACGACGATGAGCTCAGAGTGATGGAGAGCGTTTGATGTTGAGTCCATCAGCTGCAACCAATTAGCAAATTAGCTCTCTCATTAATATGACGCAACATGAATGTGCTTGGAGGAAGGAGCGTTCTGTGAAACCTTCGTGTTGAGTCTGTGTGTGTTTGATTGGTAGCTGTTGCGAAGCTACTGTCACTGTGCTGTAAAAAGTATTCGCACCCCTTGACCTTTTGTCACGTTTCCTTATTTCGTCAGTGTATTTTACTGAGGATTGTACAACAGCAGTGCAAAGCTGTGCATACATGTTAGAAAGAAAATGTATTTATTTTTTTATTCCAGCATTGCTCAGCTCTTACATGTCCAACATGCTGCTTCAGTTACAGATTCTCAGTCGGGTCTGGGGTTGGGGTTTGACCAGGCCGTCCTGGCACGCTAACGTTCTCTTAGCCGTCCCTCCGTGGCGCCGGCTGCGTTTTCCAGGCTGCTGCTCTGCTTGGAAAGTAAATCCGGTATCTGCTCCAATCTCACTCCTTCTGGAGCCTCTTTTTCTTCCAGTGTTGCCCTGCGTTGTGCTCCATCCATCTTCCCATTAACGCTGACAAACATCACTGTTCCTGCTGCTAAAAAAAAAAAAAAAAAAGAACAAGCGCCCGTCCCATGGAGGTGGCGGCGCGCTACGTCCACGTGTTGAAGTGGGGATGATGTGTTCAGGGTGATCCAGTGTTAATTTCAACATCTCAGCGTTTTGTATGTAGGTGAAAAACATTGGGGGGTTTTTTCCCCTGATCATTACATTTCAGACTTTAATTGGGGCTTCTAACACTTTTTTTTTTTTTTTTTCCCCCCCAAACAATGGCTTTCTTCTTATTACTTTTCCATTAAGACCAGATCGTTGTAGTACACAGCTGGTATTTCTGATCTCTGCAGATCCTCCAGGGTTAGCGTAAACCATTTTGCTAACCCTGACCCTTACTCCCCCTACCCAACCTCTCTGTTAAGGTTTTACACTTGTGCCACACTCTTTTCAGTTATTTTCAGACCATGGATTGAACAGATGTCCAAAACTCGGTAATTTCTGTTATAATCTCACCCTGATTTAAACGTCTCCATAACCTTAATATCACAGGATGATATTTGCTCACTTATGTCCTCTTAACAAACTTCTGAAAAGCCTTCACAGAAAACGCTGGATTAAGAACGGGGATTAAACCACACACACACACACACACACACACACACACGGACTCTATTTACTAATTGGGTGCAATTTATTGTGCCGGTGTAAAGGGGCAAATCAGTCCAAACCGTTCAAGGGATGTAAACACTTTTGCAAGGCACTGTGCATGCATTGCTTTATTTTTTACTTTTCCTATATGATTGTATTTCATACATTGGTGACTAAATGATGAAGGATTGTGTTGCTACCTCATACTTTTTCTATGCTATTTGGTTGGAGGCTTCATGTAATATCTTACTGCACTGTTATAGTTGCTTTTTTTTTTCATCTGCAAAAGATTTTTAAAGAATTTCATTGTTGCCTTCAGTTTTATGCTTTGTCACACTATGAACATCCAAAATCAAGGATGCGTCTCTTTTTCAGGATCACAACTCCTTCGTGAAAAGCCACGTCGTTAGCTGCTTCTAACCCTTACTCTGTGTTGCCTCATGAACCCAAACTCTTCCTGCACCTTCACCTGACGACGCTGTGTCCTCCTCCTCTTCCTTCTCCCCTCAGGATTTGTGAGCTTCGACAACCCAGGTAGTGCCCAGGCTGCCATCCAGTCCATGAACGGCTTCCAGATTGGCATGAAGAGACTGAAGGTCCAGCTCAAGAGGCCAAAGGACGCCAACCGCCCCTACTAGCCCCTTCTCCCCTGCCCCAGCCGGCCACCGCGGCAGGCGGGGCAGCCGCCGTCAACAGGAAGAGACAGGTCAGGCGTCACTTGAGCCGAGTAGCCGAACCGAAGCGTGCGCGGCCGCTGCAGTATTAAACTGGCAAACGCCCCGATGGCGAGCCCATTTATGGTGCCGCCTGATGTGTTTTCCATAACCTTTTATGCAAGTCATAAAACACTCGCAGGCACCTAATAACAGCTTGATCATCTGTAAAACGCTTGTAAAGATTAGTGAAGTCTTACTCCGGTGCAGACAGTTTAAGAATATATTTGGTAAAGGTTATGCTAATGTGGCTCGTCCAGGACTTGGCCGGGGGGACGAGGGAGAAACTGGTTTTGAAAGCGGAGAGCATTTAAAAAAAAAAAAAATAAAAAAGTAAAGTCTTTTAGCTAATCTATGAATTTAAAATCGGTAAAAATGTGGGTTTAGCGTTCTCTTTATTTCTGTAATACAAAGATCCATGCCCCCTGGAAAAGGTGTCTGATCTTGGAAACAGATGGGGTCTTTTTTATTTATTTATTTATTTTTTTATTTTAATGTCAGTCAAACATAAACAAAGCTGTAGAGGCATTTCCTTTACACGCTGCCTCCTCTGTTTGCAGAACATCTTTGCAGTAAGTGACCCCGCATGTTACCCTGTAGGTAAAAGATAATTGGTAAACGGCTCGGCGTGTTGCGCTGAGAAGGAAACGGTTCCGAGGGGGTGAGGGCAGGCATTTATTACCCCTCAGGCGAGTAATTGTGCCGTTCCTCTTTGTCTCCCCCCTTCATCTGTGTGATGGAGGGTTCAGGCCGCGTCGTTCATCCACCGCTGATGACTTCATTCAAGGGCAACTTATCACCCACTCACAAGCCAGCTGAACCATACCGCACAGTGTCCTGGGGCAAATCACTGGCAAAATATTGCATTCTCATACGAGTTTGACAAAGCAAGCACAGGGGCGCAAGTTTTATGGCGTTTTTTTCTACTCTTTTTGCATATCTAAATATTTTATTTCTTTTTCTACAGACTCCAAATGCTCCAGTTCACTCTCCCTGCACTGTATTTCTTTGTCGTTGTCCGAGAAGGTTCAGAAAAACAGGTGCAGCTAAAATAGTCTGCCATTATATACAGTCATGGGAAATAGACGAAGCGCACTTTAAGATTCAGTGGCTTGTAAAACCACTTTTAGTCACAATAACTCTCGGTAAACACAACCAGTCTGTCACATCACTGTGACAGACTGGTATTTCGGGGCCTTTGATTGTTTGCAGCTTTGCTAATGTCTTCTCAAAGCACTTAATTCATGTTGATTTCCGGCCTTGGACACTGAAACGCTTAATCTGTCCAAAAGACAGAAAGCGTTCCTTCACTCAGATGCAACTTTTGAAAATCAAAATGTGTTCCAGGAAACATTTTCTTTACGACAGAAGAAGCTTTTTTTTCTGGCGGCAGCTCTGCTAAACTAACCAACCGCTTCAGTCTTTTTCCGACTCCGATGTCGTGGAGTTTAACTTTTAACATGCTAGCAGGAACGTTGCACAGTTAGGGTTTTTTTTCGCAATTTCTCCGACCAGTGCAAGGTTGAACGTTGTGACTTGGGGTGACTCTTGGTAAGATTGGTAGCTGTCTTAAATATTTCTAATCGTGATCCTTCTTATTGTAACGTAGAATGATGTTTGAAAATCAGCCTTTAAGCTCTTTCCAGAGTAATCGGCAGTAACAAATGCTCCTCGAGGGTCATTGCTGGAGTCTTTCCTCCTTGGCGTTGCACTAAACCTCACCGGTTTCCTCCTGACCAGCCGACTGACACGACTCCTGGTTTTATGGAGGTGGTCAACCTTGACGGTGACCAGCTAATCATCAGTGTGCATTACAGGCTTTGTTATGTCGTTTTAAATCTGTAGGGCAACTTTTTAGTGAAAAGAGTGGCAGATTTTCTACGTCGTCGTTGACAAACCCATTTCTTCTGTGTTTTGCAGGATTTGTTGAGCTGAATAATACGTTGACCACTTGCCACCCACCGCTGAGCGCAAACTCGGCTTCTGGACCACAAAGTCTGCTTCAGAAAAAGAGAGAAGAGAGCGCGAGCATTGACCCGGTCCAGGACACTTCCCTTTGGATGTACTAAAAACTTTTGAACTGAGAGAGCGTTTTCTGGTTAGCACCAGGACTTCTTTTCCTCCTGCACACATATATACACCTCCTCCACCTAAAAAAGAAAAAAGAAAAACAACACAAAAAAAAACCTGCTTGAATGACAGCTACCTTTTTCTGGACCACAGACACTTTTACTTGAACACCGAGATGGGGAAAAAAAAAAGTAAAAGATCCTCCATAAAATCTACTGATAATGACCAACTCCACTAAACTCTCCAAGGGGATATTGTCGCCAAAAGTCCAAC